CGGCTGTGCTCCAAGGGGATCGGACTGCCACAGCCTGCTCCAGGCTCGTGCCCTGGGCTGGCTGCTTTCGCCACGGTCCTGCAGGCACAGGAGCTGGACTCTCAGAGTCCTTGGTCAGCCCCGGGTTTTCCAGGCTCCACAGCTGAGGAAGGTGGGATTTCACCATGGTCTCCAAAGGAACGGGAGCCTGAGAGCTCCATGGAGAGACATGAAATTAAAAGCAACACACTTTAAAAATTCAATACTGTGACCTCGAGGAAGGCTGAAATCCAAAATTACAAATCTCAGCTTATCCTCCAGCAGCTTTAGTGCCAAGAAAAATCCTCAGGGTCTCATAGAGCCACCACCTGAACCTTCCTGAAGCACCCACCAGATGTACACAGTACAGTTACCAAGCCCGACTTCTTTCCATGCCCTAAATGCCCTGAAATGAGCTAAGGACAGTGCTGGTGTGTGAGACCTCCTTTTCACCAGTGCTGGGGTACCCTGAAGCACCCTGAGTGCTCTGCGATGCCCCTGTGCACATGTCCGCAAGGTGATGTGTGAAACCCCAGGGCTGAGAAAGCCCCTTTCTCCCTGCAGGACCCTCTCCCAGCAGCCTGGAGCTGACCCTCTCTTTTGCAGGCAGATGCAGACATGTGCCAGCTCCGAAATGGAAGTCATGATGCTACAATCACGTGGCACAGGGCCCTGATGCCGTACCCTGCCTCCTGGCTGTGCTTCGATGGCTCCTGGGGCTCCTGACATGGGGTTTGCTCAGGATCTACGCAGCACCTGGATGGCTTGGAGCACAGACAGGGCAAGCTCGTGTTCCCTGCAGCAGGCTATGCCAGGATACTCCAATTAGCTCTGTGCTTTGATGGGAGAGCACTGTTCACTTTTGCATTTGGCAAAACTCAAGAGCCTGATCTCAACAAAGGCCACAAAAGGAGGACAAACCCTGGCAGACTTGGCTGTCTGCTCTGGGGGAGGGATCTCACCTGATCTGGCTCTTTTTGGGGTTGATGTCTGATATAATCGGGTTCTTCTCATACTTGAATGTGATGTTGTAGCTGGCACAAGACTTGTTCTCGAACTGAACACAGACTCGCACGGCCGTGGTGAGCTCCGCGGATGGCATGGTGCAGGTGATGGTGCTGTCGTTGCGGCTGCGCAGGGAAAGGCGGGGTGAGCTGCAGACAGCCATGGCAGGCAGAGCGGCCGCAGCCAGGCACCGGGGACCTGAGCATCCCCTTGGCAGCGAGGCAGATGGCAAACACCGGCAAGAAGGACCTTCCAGTCACATGCCAATCGCCTATTAACCACATTGCCTACTAACGAGCAATTCTCAGCATATACCATCCCAGGCTGCCAGACTGATTTCCCGTACAGGGAAAGGGCAGGCTCCTACGTTTT